CTCCGGCCGTGCCGCGCCACGCCGGATCGCGCCGTGGGATGAGAAGCGTGCACGAAAAGCGGCGGCATATCGGCCCGCTCCGTCTCGGTGTACAACCCGCGAGACGAGTAATGGCCCTTCATTACGCGAACGACGCGACCAGCTCGTCGAATCGACCTCGAACCAACGTTTCTCATTCGCTAATTCAACTTTGATTTATCATCCCTTTCCTCCTCGCCGAGGACGAACCTCGAGTACAGAGTTGAATCAACCGAACAGGATCCTCTGATGTCTTTCGACCGATCCTCTATGTCCAAAATTTTGTATCATTTAAGACAGGATTCGAATGTGAATAAAATTTTTCCTAATTAGCTTGTTTATATTTATTTGAGGCCAAAATTACCCATACTCAAAGAGACAGAAAGATGCTGATTTTCAGAGTGAACCTAATTGTAAGTTGCCTAAGGCAGCTCAGAATGTTTGATCGTAGATGATCGAAGCTCTAGGAAGATTGACTTCGACGATCGATATGGTAATAGTGGATTCTGATCGTTCCTGATTTCAGCGAGGAGTGGCTATGCTGCGTGAATTGCATCGGTTATTCGAGTGAAAGACCTAACTGCCGTTCCATCGTTATCGGTTATCGTGAAACAGTTTACGTTAAGATGGTATCCGATATAGACAAGTCTCAGACAGGTTTTATTTTTTTATATAGTTTCCAGTTGAACATTATTTTATTATAGTGTTTTATTTATGTTAACACGTTAGCCGTCGCGTCGGTTACGGTTGACTGACACTACGAATGTAATTTAATTAAATAATTAGTATCTAAAAGAAAAGAGAAAGATAATTTTGAATGATCGATGTGTTAAAAATATTTCCTCTTTTACGTTCTGTTTAATCAATTTGATCTAAAAGCACGGTTAATTTGCATGTATAATATCGGACGGTAAAAATCAATTTGCAAATTGAATGCAAATGTCCGATTAACCTTATGAAACAGGTGAACAGGTGCAAATGTTTAATTACGAATTCGGGAAATTGAATATCTTCCGTCAAATTTTACATTGACAAGAGCAAGAGAAACAGAGATATCTAACCGCAGAGATATCTTTTCACTCGTTGAAATCGATTACATCGCGACCAGTCTACCAGGTCGAAATTAATTTCGTTAATTAAAGCGCGACGCGGTGTCGCACGAGTCGAAAAGCATCCCCCTGAACGCATTATACGTCCAACATTGATCCGTTTTAGCAGGATGTAATGGCCCTTCGTTACAGCTACACAACGTGACCCCAACCAGGGAAAAAGAGAAGAATAACCCCGACCGTCGCCTTTCATTCGTTAAGCCCGTTGAAGTTCTAACTTCATCAAGCTTTTCTTCTCCAAGAGAGCTTACTAACGATTCACAAGATTCTCCTACTGCACCTCAAACAAAGGGAATAACATCCTGCTAACCTTCCTTTTTTTCAAAAATATAAACCTATCTTTCACCTTTGGGGAAGAAAAATTTCATTCGAATAACCTTCGAATAAAACAAACATATTTTTGAATGAAAAATGTTCACTCGAAGATCATTCGAATTAAGAATCCGAGACAGCTACGAAAGGAACCGTACGTCACAATGGAATAATTAAAAGAAAACTAAATTGAGATGCCCATAGATCTTAAATATAACCCTACCGGAAGATCTCGATCGTTTCCTATTCGTACCTGTGCCCGTGATCGGTGGCGACGCCAACTGCGAGCTGCTTATATCCGGCGGTTGTTGATTCTGTTGCGTTTGTTGCGATTGTTGCGACTGTTGCTGTTGTTGCGGACTGTTCGCAGCCACTTGCACGGTGCCCGGACTCGCCGCGCTTTCCGCCATGATTTTCACGTTTTTATCGTTCTATGCGAGCAGTCTTTTTTATTTAAATCACAATCACAACATTGCAGCTCAAATAATAAAGGAACGCGATCGATTGTATCGCAACGAGCCTCGACGTTTTCTGATTTTGCTTAATGATTTGTTAGGGCAAGTGGATGATGAACGTATTGGATCAGACACGTTTCGATCTCGCAGCTGGAAAATTGATGACGAGGCTCCTGCTTGCCAATAAGATTTTTCCTTTTTTTTCTTTTACGTTATTTCCAGGAGAATTCGTTGCTTGTCTTTGCAACGTGCTCGATATTGTTTATTGCTGTGGATAATTTTCTTCTTATTTTACGATCAGACTATGTCCGACGAAGGCCTGCACCAGCTCGTCAGGCTTTTACAAGAAAATTCATCGACGATCGTCGTGCAATCTTGTTTAGCGTCCGAGGGCATCACGAAGAGTTCGAAACGCGATCTGGATGCCATCTCTTCCGTCAACGAGATTAAAGACGCACTGTCAAGGGCTGCTGTACCGTTCGATCGATCGCGCAGTCGACCCGATTAAAGTTCGACGATTCGATTAAGTTGGCAACCTGCTGAACGGAAAACGTGGATTTATTTTCTTCTCCGATGTGTACAGCAGTTCCAAAGACACGCGATTCTTCGACGATCCTGCTCTCGATGCAACGAGGATGTAAGACATCGAGGTAATCGTGGAACGATAAATATTAGAGGATTCTAGTGTTTTATTCGCGCACGATCGATCTTTATCAGTCTGCGATTGATTGGCGAAGCGTTAAGGTGATCAGGGAGAGGAGTGTTTCTAATGAGGTTGATAAAAATTTTTAAAGAAAAAGATACGATTAGCAATATCTCTGCTTATTAAATTTGTGTAAAGTTCTTATAATCATTGGAACGAAAAGGACAAGCGAAAAATCGCGATAAACGAAGGAAGCTTACGAGGTAAAATTTCTATGTTTCTCCGTCGATCAGTCGAGAGGAGGATATTAATCTGAGGCACTGTTTTATCGTATCGATCGGAACCGTTATCCGAATCGTCCAACTTTATCCTTACGAAGAGAGAAATTCCGCTCCCGTGACGAAGAGAAAGAGAAATTCGAAACAATGAGGTACGATAAATTCAAGAACAAGAGAGACACAACGGATCGCGTCGGTCTCCGATAATCAGTCGAGAAGGCATCAAATTTTAGGCACTCTTCACCTTGTATTATCGATACCCTAAATATACTTGATCAACTACAACAGAAGGAATTAAAAAACCATTACCCTGAACACGAGGCGCTTATCGTTAAAAAACACAAGTAAAAACGTCTCGAAAGCGCAGTAACAAGCAAGATGTCGAAAGGCAAGAGGGGATAGAATCACGAAATTGTACAACTAGAAATCTCTGTTCAGTCGTGAAGTACCGATTGAAAAAATACTTTAGGCACTCTTCGTTTCTTAATTCTCTGTATGTGCTTGACGGTTCACACACCTATCTGTTAGGTTATCCTCGAACTTTTACCCCCCCGACGAGGGGCGTGAGGGAATGGAATTACAAATGTCCCGGCAGCGGCACGCCAACAAACGGAAGGGTGGAAAATGTAGAAATAGGGTAGCGAGGAAAGAAAGACGGCAAAGGGTAGGAGTAGAGCAGCGAGTCGATAGGTCAGTGGGTCTCGTTCAAAGAACGACTCTCTTCGATTCACCCGCGCGTTCGTACGCGCAGCTACATCGCCCCCTTGCCTTCTAAATACCACTTCCACCACCGGTCGGTGTCCTCTGATGTGCCAATTTAGCTATTCGATAATCCAACAGGGTAAAAGTAACAAAAAAAAAAAAAAAAGAAGAGGGAACAAAATGGTGAGAGGAGGAACGTCGAGTCGATAGGTCAGTAGGTCTCGTTCAGAAAACTGTTCTCCGAGAGTGTTGCATCCAGTTCGCACTTTCGGTTTCAACGTTCCCTGGATAGTTAATCTTGACCCAGGTAATTATCGATGCTCACCGAATTACATGTCCCTCTTTCAGTCTCCAAAATATATATGTATACACACTAGATAGATTCGAGTTACGATACGTTTGTCCAGGAATTTTCGAAAAAAAAGAAACAAGCAATCGAATATTTTCTCCAAGCTCCCTCGTTGACAAGGGCTCTGTCCGTCCAGAGAGCTTTGACTTAGGGTTGTCATCCAAAGGGCGAATCGTACGAGTTTTCTGTGCGACCTTCGCCACGACTAATTCGGTAGCTACGCTTTTCGGTCGATATTCCGTTAACAACCAGCCTCGTCGTTCAACACGACGTCGTACGACGTAGGGAAACAATTCGAAAGCCTCGTTCACGTTTCCTATTCCATCACATTTCGCCTCCTTCTAATCGTCCTCGCCCTTATCTCGATTTTACATCGTACAAGTAGAACTAACGTGATTCGCTTTATAAACTGCTACCACTATCGCCAGTCTCGATCTGCGTTCACCAGTGGAACGATAACAAAAAGTTCGCTGTCGAGTCTGACAGAGTTTCAATCATCGAGCGTACTCCATTCGCCTGAAGGTTTATCGCACATAGTTTTCTCGTGGAAGATCATTGCACCCACGAATAGTATCCACTCGATATCGATCATCGTTCAGTTCGGTCAGGTTTCGATCGAGGTAGCAGGACTCAGGAGCCGCCTGATTTCCATACTTCCTTGGATCGCATGCCAAGTCTCGGATCACGTTCGACGAAGAGGTTTTTGACGTTTCGTCGGAAACGAGTGTAGACCGTCGGTCGTATCCACTTGGCCTCGTGGGCTTTACGTCATTCTCGTGTCCGTCATCCTGGCTAGCTAGCTGGTACGTGACCGTTCCGTTCTCTCGATTCTGGCAGAGGAACACAACACACGGTACCACGGGAGAACTACACTGTCACGAGGTTGTCTCGCGTCGCGGTTGATAACGCGGTTCAATGGATCGCTGCACGTACACCTGGATCACTGTCGATCCTTTTTCGAGGAAAAAAACGAGCTAACGGTGATGTCGTTTCGGTGCCGAACGTCTCGTTTCGGCAATGCACTTCACGGGGAACCAGTGGCTCGAGCTTAAAACGACCGTCAGCAGATGGCAGCCAGTGTTGAGCCACCGTTTTACTACCACCCCGCCCCGGATTACACTGATTCATACGGGTCTTTTCCCTCGTAGATCGTCCATTTCGTAAACATCCCCTGCCAACTTATTCTGCCCACCGACACCATCCAGAGTCTCGCACTTTCTCGCATCTTTTCACGGCGAATTTTCTTGCGATCCCGTAGCCGATAGAAATTGCCCGAAATATATCGGAATGTTCTACCCCTCAGGGCCAGTGTAAGAGGGTGTTTCATTGGTTAAACGCGATTCAGGGATGAGACGCGCACGCGCCGCCACTGCGCGCTCTGGATAGTATTCGTTCGATCCGTTACCAGCCTGTATTCGTCAGCCAGATAGACTGTTCCGTCTTCAAAGCGATAAGGTTACCACATTCGTATCTTCTATCATTTTTACCCTTTCAACGTTGCTCTAATCAATTTCACGAAATTCGATCAGATACCATTCGTTCTTCGACTCGTTTCATCAATTTTTCATTATCATCAGAGCGTAGGATCGAAATCAAGGGAGGAAGGAAATGAAGGGGTTGGAAAGCTGCGAGAAGGATCGTGTCCCTTTAAGGTGAGGTAGTTCTACAATAATATATTCGTTCCAACTGTGTGTATTTTTTGTTCCATTCGTATAGTAGGTCGCTGTGTTGTTGTTGCAGATCGATCTGCTCGTTGGTTTCCATAAAAGTGACTCAGAATTTTCATTTTTATTCCAGCATATCGATTGAAGTTGAATTTTGATTAGCTCGATAATACACGATTGTCTTCATTTTTGAAATATTTAGAATTTTAATTGATTTTTTTCCCTTTTAACCAAAATTTTAAGTATCGTACGTGCTTTCTAACGAATCGGGGGAAGTTTAATTTATCTGTCCCAATTACTTCGGTTAGAACAATTGAGCTAAGGAAAACAGAGGTATACCATTTATCGGGTTATAATTATTTGCACGTAACGTAGAACGCTTATATTCCGTGTTTCATCGTGTCCGTGCCATTGAATTTATCGCTACCGTTATACCCCTTTCGACTGAATCCCCGCCTCTCGCTGTGTCCGTTTGAGTTAAAGCGTCGCTCGAGCCGACTACAAGCAAAGGCTACACACCGAATACACTCTCCTCGCTCTCTTCGGCCCGATACGAGCCGTTGCATTTTCAGAACGGTACTCCTAACTGTATCTTACATACGTATACATACGTACGTGTTACAGGTATATATACGTATGTTTCTGCTCACCTGTCGACGTCCCGCCTAAGCACCCGCGCATACCGATCAGAAAACAAGGGAAAACGACCGCGTCGATGACCCTAGACGAGATGACGAATTCTACGGGCTAAATTAACGATCAGTTCCCAAGGAATTCGAGGGAACCGTTTGACATTCGAATTCACACACGTTACACTTAGGCCTCTTTGAAAAAATAATTCTTAAAAGTGATACTTTCTATTTTTTCACGGTCTCTCTACGAACTTCAAAGACTATCAGGTTCTAATAAATTTTTATTTCAATTGTACCGCGGAACAATTGTTATCCGAGTTCGATGATTATGAAAGATAACGAACTCCATTTCTCAAGATCCTCTTTATTAATTACGCGGTACGTTATACGTTCTAGTTAGATTGAATCGAATTTTCCGAGGCCTGGTTCAGGAGATCTACCGCAACACGTTCAGAACAAACATTAGATCGTTAGATACCTTGTTTGGAATCAAATTTTTTTCCATTCCACTGCAATGAAATTTGAACATCTTTAAACGAAATATTCGGAAAGATGGCGAATTTGTTTGAGAATATAACGACACACCGGTGAATAAATCCCTTTCAGCCAAGAGTCTTTAATTCGGTACCGATTTATTCGTGGGCAAGCAGCAATCAAGGAGGAAGCGGTTACTCATCGTTCAACGATCTTCGCTGAATGAGACCAGCCAAGTCAGCATCGAGGAAGGTACAAACGTTGCATACAATTAGGGAACAATCGGGCATGCATTAAAATAACGATCAAAGATTAAGGGAGACGGCTTAAACCGTTAATCGTTTTCAGAATACCGCTTCAATGAGCTGCTCGGAGCGAAACACGGATCAAAGAGTATTGGAAGAGAAGAATGGTAGACAAAAGAAGAAGGAGAAGAAGAAGGAGAGAAACGAGTGAAACAACGTGTAGCGGATCTTCTACGCAGGTATATACGTAATGTACACGTACGTGCGGGTCGCGTGTAGGGATACTCACGTAATGTAGGCCTGTTCCCGGAGGTACCGTAAGACCTTGCTGTTACGTCACTAGAAGCCGCATGATTAGGAGAAAAAGGATACCGATGAGAAGGGAGAGAAGAAAACAGGAACCGTACCCTAGGGCTGCACGCATCTTCCTACTCCGTTCACCGATATTTCTTCATACTAATTAATTCCCTTTGTCTTTCATTTTTCTTCAATTTTCTAATATTTTATTAATGGTATTGTACGTTTCAATCATTTTTCAGTGATCGCAAGTGGAGAAGACTTTAGCAGTTTCTTGGAGTAATTGAGAAATGCAAGAGTTTTGAATATAAAATTTTTTTAAATTTTTTAATAGCTCTTCTAAGTTCAGAAAAATGAAATTAGATGATTTTGAACACAATAATTGCAATTAATAAAATAAAGGGTTATATGATTTTTAGAGCAACAGAGCAAAATCTGAAAGTGACCATCCGTGTCTAAAATAAGACACACAAGTGGGAAGTTGTAATCGCATTTCTGCAGAGGTTGCAGTAAATTTAGAGGTGCGAATTGGGCTAAGAGATCGTGTGCTGAACTGTGTGTGCAAACAAACCTAACCCACTTCAATTTCCATCCATTTCTCGCTTTTGCCATCATTTAATGTATTTACAAAAACCTTGATCTTTTTAATCCTGTTATCCTCTACAAACATAAATTGGTGTCTAAATAAAATATTCATCAAGAGACCTGTAACCCTAGATTATCCTTTTTGTGACAACACTCTAATATGCAAATTTAACGATGTAAACAATAAAATATTCATTATTTCAAGCGTTACAAGTTTGTACGAAATATTTCGTTAGAAACATGAAGAAGCATATTTTTGAAGAGACACGCGGAACTTCCAAAACGGAATCCCGTTTATTTCGGCGAAACTGACAAAACGCCATACTGTCACACGTTTGCCAGGCATTTCATAAGAGGTCTACGTTTATTTCGTCACGTACAATGACTGTTGAGCCTTCACGTGAAATCATCAGCCCTTCCAAACTCCCCTCTCCATTTTTTACTTCCCTTCCACGGAACCACCGTCACCGACACGGTCCGCGTCCACGTGTTTCTATCTGCGGTCAGTGCACCTTGCTGCACGAACCGCGGCCATTTACCGAAGGTCCACGTAACGCGACCGTGCTTAATAATCTTTTCTCCCAAGGATCGTCGACCTTGCCGATGGAGCTAGAGAAAAACCGTGAGGACAAAGAGGGACGAGGCATTAGATGGCCAGAGATAGAATTTTTCGAATCGTCTAATGTTTCAACGGGGCCCATTAATCCGTCCATTCTTAGAAGAATAGTTCCCCCTTTCCAATACGATTAACTTGGAATTCATTGGAATTTAATTTTAACCGAAAATGCATTTCTCGTAGAATTTATGATGCATCGAGTCTAAAACTGCTTATCGAGTGTAGGATACGTGTCGAAAATGTCTGAGACAATGAAATTGGAGACAAAAAGAGTGCACGTGAGTACAGATCGTTCGTCCTGTAATTTGATAGGAACGTCAGATCTTCGTGTCGATGACACGTGTTAATGGAATGTTTAACTCGGCTGACAACACGGAAGTGCATAGTGCAGATGCAGTCGCTGATCTTGCATCTTATTTTTCACTGTGTATCAAAAGATGATGATCCTTTTTCTTAAAAAATATTACCTTATCTTGTGTTAATTATCGATCGAAGGAAAAAATAGTATTCCGTAAATATAACACGTAATATCGTCATTGACATTGACATTATTTCCTAAGCTACACCCTCGCCGTTAACACATTTTACAATCCACCCTTCGATCGACACCCTCTTACGTCAACCCTATTTTCACACCTCTCTACTTTCTCACCTGTCCTAATCGCGACAATCCCATTCTTGCGTGTCCTGCCGCATCTTTGCGAAGTCGAGCATGTCGACGAGCCCTGTCTACTCGCGGCTAGATAGAAATACCAACAGGACTAGGAGGAACAAGGAGAGAGAGGAAGACGAAGGGAAAAGGTGGAGACCCTAGGAAGAGACTCAAAGGTTCACGGCCGGGTGGTTGCTTTAAATCAGGCAGGTAAGGTGGTTTGACGGGGAAGAGACATCACTGGCCACGTGGTGGCTCAGGGGTCATTGTCCTGCGGCCAAGCTTTGTCGAGGTGAATCGGCTCGGGAACCGGGTACTCGTTCAAAACTTCCCGCTGCTTTTCGGCCCTCTTACAATGTGTTAGAAGGCCGCGTAGCCTTTTGTCGATTTACATTAGATTTCAACCGGCCATGTTACGTGAAACAGGCGCATGTGTCTTCCTGTTTCTAGCTAAAGAGGATGTTGGCTTACCGATATCTGAATTTACTAAGCTTTTAGTTTCTTCGAGTAAATAAATGAAAATTCTATTTTTTGTAGAACCGATAATAGACAATGTATAGCAAGGCACAGTTCAAATTTAATTTCAACCCTTTTTCTATTGACAGCTTATCTCCCATCAGTCTATAAAATTTATAACATATTCGTTTTCGCTTTTCGGCTCGATTTTGGCCGCAAGTACTCTTGCTTTCGTATCAAGGATCCCGACTGTTCAACGCCGAAATTCCTGACCAATTACGGCTAGCATTATCGCCCGGCCACGGATAGTGGAACAACGCCCGCAGAAAAATAAAAGCCGACCTGACTGTAAATCTTTTTTCCCGAACGAGAGATAGAGAGGGCAGCGGTGCTGTAAGTTTCGGCCGTGCCGAGGACGAACAAGCAAGCCGAACGAGCGAACGAGCGTGTAGCACCTGCGGTCGACGACCCTTGCGGTGCTATCGAATACCTGCCGACACGACAATCCGCTCGTTTGCTCGCTCGCGATCGCCTCGCTCTTTTGGTGGGCCATCGAGCACTTCGTTCTTCGAGGCGTGCCCGAGTATCGTCATCGCCCGAACCGGAAAAGGAAAATCAAAGATGGACCGTGAAACGACCAGAAAATTGAATTTCAATCGTGTCCAATCGTGAACAATGATACCAAAAATAAATCAATTTCATACATCTGCATCGTATCGAGATGTTGCTAACCTGAGATTTTAATGATACTTCATTTTTCCTGGATAATGAGGAAAATGACGATTAAGATTGACGGGCGATGCTTTGTATCGTGGAATGCTGAATTGTCTATTTTTTTTTTGAATGTTGATTTAACAGAATAGTTGATGCTAACTGACGCAGTGAAATTGGATATCTATAGTCAGACGTACGTCTGACGTGTGAACTCCTGCAATTATGTCGATTCATGATTTGTAAAAGTAAATTAGAATTGATAAAAGGAAATATAATTTCTTTTCTGTAAATGTCAGAAGCAAATTGAATTATTATTCAGATACTTGATAGAAATTACTAAATGTTCTTGATCATGATGAATCACAGGACCGCGCGTGTTAACGCGTAAGTAGATCCGGTGAAATCGGATTTGTTCTCGATTACAAGCATTACCTCGTTAATGCGCAATTAAGTTGCATCAATTTTAAATTAGAACACGCTCCGTTGTGTGGTGGTTTTCGAAAGTTCTATCTCGCTTGGAACACTAAAAGAAGCATCTAGTTTTATCCAAACTACTGCTATTAATATAAGAAAATCCAATGAAGATTGATATTGAATATCAAGATTTAATCAAAGTGGATGTTTAGCAAATTGATAAAATTGAGGTTAAATGAATTTACGGTGAGATTCTAGCCAAATCGAGAACTGCCACTCTTATTCTTCCAATAAATTCAATTTGCTTCTCTACGTCGATAATTTTATTACAAACCAATAAATAAATCCTGAGAACTCTAATTGATCGTGTTGCCAACAAATGTACACACGGTTGAGTTCAATGAACTTCATCTCGATCTCCTCTCTTCGAGAAGCTGAATTAACATCTAACGAAAACCTTGAAACACCTCTACCCTTTATAAACGAGCTACGATCAAGATTGGATGCACATAGCAGATAATCCCGCATAGTTAATGTTGAAATGATTTAAAGCCTATGAAGATGCTGCACCGAGTGAAAGGATTCTGAACGTTCAGATTTTGTTTACCCGTTCGAACACATAAATAACGTTGCCGGATAGTTAAAATGACAATTGAATTCCCTGATGGTACCATCACTTTCGTAACAACAGTCTTTAGCATTCTTCGTGGTGATCTATGCGGTGATCTCAGTCCTTCAACTACAACGGCCATCACATGTATAGATCGTTGAACCTGCGCTAGACCTTTCCCTTGTTCAGGTTCAAAAACCCGTATCAATCTCCGTATTAGCGGATTATTTTCGCCGGGTGAATCATAATGAAGGCATAATGATTGCACGACAAGAAAATAATTTTGTTTGCCAAATTTCATTTACAACGAGGTATCCTTATTTTTAATTAACTACCATTTTAAAATACTTCTATTTCAAGATCCAAACGCTTTGTATAGACAATCTATTTGTAATGAACCGTACTAATAAAACAATTAAAAACAACACCCATTGTCAGTCATTTCTATTTCCTCTCATTATACATGACTCATAACGACTGTCCCCTTCAAAGCGATCTGAGAGCTAGCAGAAAAGTCCTTGAATCATGGTAGCCCATGGTATCGATCAAGTTCGCTAGATCGTTGAACCTAAACTCGACCTTCCTCTCTGTCGTTTAACCGAATCGATATTCAAGGCCCAGCTCGAATAGATCCAACTATACCTTCGCTCGGGCCAGTATCGCGAGAGTAGCATAGACTCGAAGACGTAGAGGTGTCGGAAGAGGCATGGGTCCACGGTGAGTGGATGAAGAACGGTGGGGAATATTTGTAGGGGGAGTAGGAAGAGAACACAGAGGGGGAGTAGTAAGAAACAGCTGGTGGGTTGAACGAGCCCGGAGTTCAATGACTGGAGAACGAAGGAGCAAGCCGGGTTTCGAGTTAGGTAGGTAGGTAGGTAGGTAGGTAGGTAGATAGGTAGGCAAGCGGGAGAGACACGTTTACCTGCGTAGACCCGTTCGCCTGTCGCCGCGCCGCGGATACGGGAGTACGCGTGTTAAAAAACGCTCCGTGAATCCCTATGCAGCACATCGTTTCACGCACGTAACGCCGACTTTCGGAACCGAGCGGATTCCGCGTGACTCACGATTTCCCTTCTTGGCTCGTTTTACGCTGACGCGGAACCGAATTACCGTTGCCCGCGCACATGGCACTGTCGGTTCCTGCGATTTTTCTTCGAAAACGATGAAACCAGCCCGCGTCAGCAGAGTTCAGATCTATGTCTCCTAACGTGGAATGTCATTGGATCAAGAACTTTGTTCTCAAGAAAGATTGAGATTAACTCTCCCGAATAAGTTGGAAGAGTCAAGAAATCATTTTATGGAGTACAAAGTCTTTCGTATTCCTGCCCGAACGCGTTCGAAGGGGACACCTGAAAATGCTCTGACAATTTCGTCACCGATCCTGTTAGCATGTGTATTGTATGCGTGATTAAGACAGGGTGGGGATTGTTAAAATTCGACGTAACGACATTTGCGAACGGTCGCTTCGATCATGTTGCCGCCATAACGGTACCATAGAACGTAATTTGGGTAGAGCCACCCAGCGACTTATACAAGCTCGGTTCATTGCCTACTATCTCCCTTCCTGCGCCTCCTCCAACGCGACCCACTCCTTTCATAGACTCCTTTGTTCGGAACCAAGTCACGACAGACGAAATCTATTTTTATAAAATCGAATTTGCATAATGATCGCAGCTGGTTAAATTTACAAACCAGCTAGATTTAAGAGGATCAAAAGTTCAACTTGGAAAGAGAAAGAATCTCGTGAAAGTCCACCCTTTCGTCAGCGTCGTCCG